ACATAGAAATTCTGCCATCAGACTTGGCCATTCCTTGCCCCTAATCTCTCCCTACTCCAGTAATGATTTCGTTACCTCAGTTGGTTGATTTCTTCCAGTGACAAGCCCCACATCGCCTCCTAGCCCAGTCACTGACTGACTTACTCAGGAATCACTGGCCTCCTGGTCTCCCCTTTGTGGTGCTGCCAGACTCCTTCCAGCGTGCAGGGGTTTCCCACTATACAGAGAGTAAGTTCACACTTCTTAGTGTGACACTCAAGACAAGCCAAGTTCCACTCCAAACCACATTCCCAGGCTTTCTCCTCTCCTGAACCATCCATTCCACTCTTAGTCATGCTGGATTATATGAAAAATGCATGATACATAGGTCATATTTCATAGCTTTTGGTTTGCTGAAAAAATTTTCAAGTTTGGCTTTCGTATTTGATTTTATGTTTTACACAAATTACATGTTTCAAGACACTGAACACATATACTAAAAATGTCTTTCAAATTGGGATACAAAAGTAATTTTCAAAGACAACTAGGTTGGAGTTTATCATCAAAAGGATATGGAAGCTGAAGAAATTCTGCTGAGCTGGTTGGAAAAGACTTTTTGGCTGGGACACAGAGCAGCAGCTGGGGTCAGCGTCAGTTCTCCCAGCAAGTCCATGCCAGCCACGTCATCAGGGATTACAAGTGTTACAGGATGCCCGAGCACAGGGTGGATCCTGTCGCAGTGCGCTTCAGTCGTACCAAAGTTTGATCTGCTGTCAGAAAACAAATTTAACTTTTCTCCCCTTCCTTAAGAAATTATTAAAATATTATTCCAAAAAGCTTTTTGCAACCTTTAATATATGCATAACCACGTAACCCACATACTAGTTTTGTTGAGGTAAGTAACTGTCCCACTCAGGGAACCACAGCAATGGAAAGAGGAGGAAAGTGGGCATTTCAGTGACGGTGTCGTGGCTCCTGCTTTTGCTGTCAGTAACAGCAGTTTCTTATTCTAGAGGTGTATTTCCTCCACTAAACCACTCTGTGGTTGGGAGCAGATCACTCTGGGGGACGGGGGGAGGGCGGGAATCACGTGGCCTGAAACTGGTGCCGCGACACCTGACGTCCCTCTCATACATTCTACACTATGACAGAAGCTGAAATTACGGCTTATAGGAGCAAATGAGACAAACTAGGCCACTTTTCTCCCTAAGAAAGACTCTAGTGAAGTTTCTGCTTACTCTCCAATGGCTCTTTTCTAAACAGAGGAGAAATCTAGTGGACCTCTTCCTCTCACTAATCACGCCATCCAGGGAAACATCTATAAATATCGGCTCAGAGGTCCAAACTCTTGTTAGTAAAACTATCACAATGAGCTGTCTACCTGTAAGGACTGTATGATAACAGAGGGATACTAAAGAAAGATATGGGGTGAGGGGCTTGTTACCTGTACCCTAAAGGACAAAAGATATTCTCATCTGAGGGATAATTCTGGGACAGTTTCAGGAAGTAGACTAAAAAACCATGGGTAGCCTGTTTAAGCCTTGAGATTCTGACTACTGGTGTTGACGGAGGGCATATTCATGAAGGCAGAAACCATTAAATAAAATACAGTAATTCGGCTTAAGCATACAACAGGTCTTTTCTTGATAAAGTTTATGTTCATTTTGGAGTCTGTGGTAGTTGGATGGCACAGGAAGGCAAGGCAGAAGTTCTATATTATATTCTACCCCCTCCATGTACTCTATTTTTAGTGTTTGAAGAAGGCTGCAGTGGGGGAAAAGATGACTTCCAAACCTGTGCAAAATGCCAACGTATACAAAGTAATATACAGTAATTTTTTTGGATTCATAGTATCTCTTTATCCAAGAGTTCAAGTAATTGTAATTTTAAATTCAGTCTTCTCCTCTCATGCCTAAATGAAACTGGAATTAGCAGGGAGAAGGAACACATCCTCAGGTCAATTAGAACATATTCAAGGCACTAAGAATAATAACAGTTTTCAATACAGATAACTTTATAAAGCTTTACTTCCACATTCCCTATAGAGAAGATGACACTGGACACTTTGCAATGACAAGTGAGACCACTTCCAATTTCCACCTCCGTTCATTTTCATGCTAGGAAAGTACAACACAGAGAGGGGCAACAATGTTTTGCTCCTTCACCTCATATAACGCCGACAGTTTACGACAAGAGCAATTCCATTTGACAGGTTCAAAGTGGGTTCCTTCTCTACCCTGCAAAGCAAAGAAAAGCTAAGCTATCTCTCGAGATTCTAAAACCAATTTCTGAGTGATACAAATTTTGGTTTGTGAAAACTACCACCCCAGAAATGACTGTAATTCAGTACCTAATTAACCAAGAGGAAAATGACAAATTTTAGGTTTATTTCTCTCTAGTGAGATAGAAAAACATGATAGGTTTTAGATAAATCTACTTACTCACCAAAAGCCAATATGGAATAAGAAAATATGAGGGTCTCAGAAAATTAATTTCAAGGTGACTTTGGGTAAAGAAAGAAAACTGTGAATCTACCGGAAATGGAAGTAAAATGGCTGAGAAAGTCTGCAGAGCCACGGCACCATTGGAAGCCATGGGCTCAGGACTTACCCGAAGACATCTCTTGACAGGACTCCATTTACCTCTACACTGAAATTAAATCTTATCTGCAAAACAATACATGAGGTGTGAGATTGAATAGGAGCCAAGACAATGTCCACACCATCTCTAAAGGAAAAGTATATTCTTTTTTTTTTCTTCTTTTTTTTTTTTTTTAATTTACTTGACAGAGTTACAGACAGTGAGAGAGAGAGACAGAGAGAAAGGTCCTCCCTCCGCTGGTTCACTCCTCAAACGGCCGCCATGGCCAGTGCTGCGCCGATCCAAAGCCAGGAACCAGGAGCCTCCTCCCAGTCTCCCATGCGGGTGCAGGGGCCCAAGCACCCGGGCCATCCTCCACTGCCCTCCTGGGCCACAGCAGAGAGCTGGACTGGAAGAGGAGTGATCGGGACCAGAACCCGGCGCCCATATGGCGCCGCAAGGCGGATGATTAACCAAGTGAGCCACAGCGCCGGCCCAAGTACATTCTTTTTTAAAAGTGTAAACATCATTTTAAACTGAGAAATCCTAATTGTAGACATTAACAGAGTACAAAATGATACTTTGGTATATGGTATACAATGTGGTATGATTAAATCAAACTAATTAATATGCTCATTATCTAACTTATTTTTTGTGGTGAGACTTTTGACTTTTACTCTCACCCATTTTGAAATACACATTTTTATTGACTACAGTCACCCTGTCCTGCAGATCTCAAAACCTATTCCTTCTCCCTAACTGGAACTTTGCACTGTTTGCCCAACAACTGCTCATATCTCCTTCTCCCCTAACCAGCCTCTGGTAACCACCTTTCTGTTCTCCACTCCTCTGAATTTGACTTTCAGAAATTCCATATATCAGTGAGATTATGTGGTATTTGTCTTTCTGTGCACGTCTTGTCTGAAGGAAGAAGGTAGATATGGTACATATTCACAGTGGAATACTACTCAGCTTTTTAAAAGGAGGAAATTCTGTTATTCAGGACAAAACAGATGAACCTGGAGGAAAAGGGTCTTCTTTACCAACTTTTTTCAATTTATCTTTCCTTCTACACACTTAATACTTGCCTGTGTTCAAATTCTGAATTTTAAATATATTGAATCCTACAACTCAGGGAATACTTGTCATTCTCCCAACATATTCCCTTGTCTTTTTAAAAGAAACTATCAATTTTTTATTTTTACTACTTTCATACATGGAATGTTCCACGCTTTTTTCCTCACTTTCTCTTCCCCTTCCCCAATGTGATTTGTATGTCCTCTCTCCAATTTATGTCACTGTTCTAACTATTCCCTACCTTTAATCTGCATTTTTCTTCCTAAGTAGCATACAAGAGTCTCTAGACCCGACTGCCTGATTCAAATCCTGACTCTGCTTGTTACTTAAGTTCGGTACCTTGGTTTTCTCAGCTATAAAATGAGGGTGATGATGATGGTGATGAGACCTATTTTTCAAGGAGTTAAATGAGTAAGTACATAGAGGGCATCTGAAACACTGACAATAATACTTACATATAGACAATGATAACACAGACAGCAAGAACTTAAACCTGCTAAAGACAGCACAAGAAAGGGAGGAGCTAGGTGAGCACTTAACTGTGTTCATCTTTAGAAACCCATCTATTCCAAATGAAAATTTTATTTCTCCAATGTTTATATTTTAGCAAAATTTCATTATTTGCTCTTACAGTGACTTTATAAAAGAGGGAGATAATCAACCAGGTTTATTATCTTAGTTTAACAGAAAAATTAAACACAAAAGCAAAAGAGGCATCTAAAATGACACATTAAAAGCAATAAATGAAAATAGGATCTCCTGTCTCCAGAGGACCTCAGCTGTCACACGACCAACACAAGTTGCCTTAAGAAACCAAATGATTTCAATATTAAAAGTTAATCAATCCTATCCTTCTATCTCCTTCAGAATAGAGGTCTCTTGAAAACATATGACTTAACCAAGAGAAACATTTTTGTACAAAAGAACAGCTTACCTTAGGATGCACCACAATGACTTTGCGTATAAAATGTTTTATAATTAGACAATCTCTTATCAGTGTTCTGGGCTCTTCATCAACCTGTAACAACACAACAAAGACCCCCACCACACAAACACAAACCCAAGAACACAGATCAATCAGCTTGCGGTGTTTCTTCTAGAAGCAAACATCAGACATCTTCAGGGAAACCTCTCTGGGAGTAGGAGTTGTACACAAGAGGGAATCTAAATAGCCATCAGTTCTTGGGTGACATTACCTATTTCATGGAGCATCAGGAGAAAAATGAACACAAATCAGATTAAAAACCATATTTTGGGACATATTTAAAAGTAATTCAGGGACACATTCTATTTTATGGAATAAGGTGTTATGGGACTCTAGGAATGGAGCTCATGCCAATTAATATCATTAAACTAAAAATTAAAAAAAATAAGGGACGGCTTTGGGGAGTAGTGGGTTAACCCACTGCCTGTGATGCCAGCATCCCATATGGGTACTGGTTTGAGTCCCAGCTGCTCCACTTCAGTTCTAGCTCCATGCTAACAAGCCAGAGAAAGCAGCAGACGATGGCCCAAGTGCTTGGGCCCCTGCACCCACAAAGGAGACCCAGATGAAGCTCCTGGCTCTGACCACTGTGGCCACTTGGGGAACAAACTAGCAGATAAAAGATCTCTCTCTCCCTTTCCCTCTCTCTCTCTCTCTCTCTCCCCCTCCACCTTTCTTTCCCTCCCTCTGTTAACTCTGCCTTTCAAATAAATCAATAAATCTTTTTTTAATTAATTCAAACCAGAGCTTAGAAATATAATTCTATCTTGACTCTGCCATTGTGTGTTTTGGGATAATCTGTATTAAGAATCCGAGTGGAGGGGCCAGCATGTGGAATAGCAGGTAAAGGTGCTGCCTGTGACACTGCAATCCCATATGGGCGCTGGTTCAAGTCCTGGCTACTCCACTTCTGATCCAGCTCCCTGCTAATGCACCTGGGAAAGCAGTGGAAGATGGCCTTTGCCACCCATGTAGGAGACCTGGAAAAAGCTTCTGGCTCCTGGCTTCAGGCTGGCCCAATCTCAGCCACTGCAGCCATCTAGGAAGTAAATCAGCAGATTGAAGATTTCTCTCTCTCTCTCTCTCTCTGTAACTCTGCCAAATAAATAAATAAATAAATAAATCTATCTATCTCTGACTTTCAAATAAATAAATCTTTTTTAAAAAAAAAATCTGAGTGGAATCAAAGGAACTTTTGAATATCAATTCGTTCTATATAAAGAAACATTGTAGAGCAAAAAGCTCAAAAGTCGAAAGTCCTGTGTTCTAAATTCTTTTTTTTTGTTATTAAAAGTTTCCTTTATTTTTCTGTTGAATCAAGCACTAGCTACCAGTTAGTTAAATTTTTTTGTGTGCCCTCTAAAATTTAGCACAGTTAGCATTGCCTTATCAATAATTGAATAGGTCCCAGTGGTTATGTCCATATTTAGATTGTTCAGGTGGTCAGGAACTCTTTTATTGGTTTGCTTTAGCTTTTAGTTCTTGGTTATATCTCCAAATGCGAAAGAGTTGAGAGGCTCCTGCTGCCCCCACAAAGAAATTAACAGCAAATAGACTCCAATTTTTTGGAATAATTACGAGGGAGTATCTTGACCAAATAAACCCTGTAGCCATCAAAACAGCAGACTGAGCTGTGCTGAGTTTTTCTGCAGGTCTTGCCATGTCAGCCAATCCAGCACACACCAATCCCCATTTCATAATTGGAGCCCAGAAGAAAACTGTGCGGGGACTGCCGGCTGGTTGTACAATGGTCTCAATTTCTCGGGCAGCATCAGCTCCACTTTATCCAGGAGCCGGTGGTAGGTGGCCCGCAGGCCTCGGGCGCCAGCGGCTGACATGTCGGCCGCCGAGTGATCGCGGGCAGCCAGATGGGAGCGTCGCCGTGTCCTCGCTCCTGGCTGACAACGAAGGGCAGCTCGTCCCTCTCCCTTGCCACAGCGCCTGGCGTCCGCTTTCCACCAGGGTGCCCTTCGCCGCGGCTCGCCTGCCCCCGGGCCTGTGTTCTAAATTCTAAATCACTTAAGTAACCATGGGAGGGGAGCAGAGGGAATCACTTCATTACTCTTCATGTCCTAATTCCCCAAACAGGGATAAAGCCAATCTTTCTACCTCACTGCTTTAAGGATCTTATACCTGAAAATACGTATAGTAACAATAACATATCTTTTGTTGAATGCCTACCATGTGACAAGACCGTGCAGGTGCTGTATACACATTGTCTCACAGCAATCCTGGAAGGTAGGATTACCATCCCCAACTTGCAGAATTTTATTTTAAAAGGCTAAGACGTTAAACAATTTGCCCAAAGTTAGGCAGGTCAATTTGTCTCTGGATCTTTAGTATCGACCCCATTCCTATTTGACTTACTGTATTGAATGTAGTGTCCCTAAACCCCCAAAGAATAAGTCTAGGAAAATTTTATAAAGAAGCACCATCAAAAATTAGAAGGTTTCTATGGGTGGATCAGAATACAGAGAACCATACACAAAATATATATTAAAGAAAAAAATGTACCCAAACCTGAAAATTACGTAACACAATAAAGAATAAAAAATGCAAATCTTGAGTAAACAAGCTATTATAATATTTTTAAAATACAAAGAAAAAGAGGCCAAGAACTATCTAATACAATGATAATTATTAGAAAAATAAATAGAAAAATGGATAGTTGGTTAGAAAATTCTGGAAAAATCTAGGATTATTTAACATGTAAACAATGGTTATTAAACAGCAACTGCTACCTATATTATAGTCACATCCTTTACTTAAAAAATTTTTTTCATACAAAATGTTTAAACAGTAGAAAATCACTGGTCTCTTAAAGCATTTTCTGTACTTAATACTTCCAAAAACAACTTCTTGGAACAGTTTCAAGTCTCTGCAACTTGGTGA